AATGTCTTTGTTCACCTTTGTCCATTAACTCTCTTCTTTTTTATTTTTATTTATCTATTTTTATTTCTCACCATTTCTACTAAGTCATTTAGGTATATTTATTTCAATTATATAAGATGGCTTAAAGAATTTTAGGATGCTTGTTACTAAAAGAACTCTGCTGGCTGCTAGAAGAACTTTGGAGGGAAGTCGTGAGTCGTCAGGTAATCCCTATTCCAAAAGTGGCCCGGAATGTGAGATGTACTCTCCACAGGGATAATGGGTGATGGATAGGTACCCTGGTCAGTGGGCCATGTCATGGAAAAGAATATTCAGAATTTTAACCTGGGGCACCACGGTCCATCTCCCTGATTTGTCTCATCTTGGTAACTCATTCATTCATTTATAAAACCTTTACTGAGCAGCTTCTTTCTTTGAAGGTGCTAGTAAGGGAATTTACATGTATTGAGAGAGTGAGAGGAGAAGGTTGGTATTGAAGGGCTGGATCTCAGAAATGAAAACAAAGATAAACAACATCCCAGTGCTCAGGGAGTTCATGGTTACTTGCCTCAACTTTTACTTTTTATCTGTACTATTCTATGATTTCAGAATTTGAGCCTTATGCTACTGACATTCCATCCTCCAGTCAGGGAGTTTTGCAATCCAGGTACTGGAGAAAGAGGGGTGATTGCTTTCATGGAGAAGAAGGCTAGGAGATGAGGCCACTCTTTTATTCTTTCCAGGTCTGCACTCTCGGTTCTCAGCTCCCGGGGTTCGTTGAGTAGTTGATTTTTATTTTAGTACTGTATACTGAAGAATTTCTTTATTTTATTTCCCTTGCTATTCTAGGACCCCTGTTATAGTTTTTGTTTGTGGTTTTATACATTTCAATTTTTAATGTTAAACAGAATAAATGTCATTACTGTTTTTCTCAAAGTAATTTTTTTGGATGTCTTAGATATTTGTGCATTCATATGAATCATCTTTCTGAATAAATTCCCTTAGTATTTTGAGCGACATTTTTATTCAGTTTATACATTGGTTCATAGATTTTTGACACCTTCAATTAAATTTTCTCAATTTAAGAATAGTTTTTAATTTATATATATGAAGTTTTAAATTGTTTATGCCTCATATAAATCAGTAAAGTTTTATAGTTTTTTTCAGAGTGTTTTAGTTTTTTATGGTTACTTTTAAATTACATAATCTAATTGGCTGTTGATTTTACTTTTGAAAGCTATTTTTGCTTATTGAAAAACCATCTTAAGAAACTTAATAATTCTAAAATATTTTAAAGTTATATTCTTGACAGAATTGTTTCATCTGAAGTGATGGAGTTTTGCCTTCTTCTGATGCTGAAATCTCTTATTTTTCTTACCTAGTTGTATCAGAAAGCCCTTCCAGATTGATGTTAACAACTCTGGTGATAGTGGGCATTAATGCCTTACTTCTGATTTTGCTTTTAAATTTTGTCATTATTTTATCATTAAACATGATCTTCTACTGGCTTGAGAACATTTTTAAAAGTCATAAGAGAGTTTCTTTTTCTATTCAGAACAAATTTTTTTAAACTGCCAAAGCCTTTACTAAATTTCATGTACTGATTCTCTTTTCCACTGAGGAATACATTGTTTGACTAGCCTCTCCACTTTTGATCTTGTCTCTGTTGATCTGTAGTGTGAATTGCTATATACAAGTTATTTTTTCAAAATCAATTTGATCATGTTTTACTTATATTCCAGGGAATTATTGCACTTTCCATGTTATGTAGTGAAAGGTTCAGACTTCTCTGGCTATTTATATTATATATGTTTCTTTGTGATCAGAGCATATGCCTTTCCAGCCTTCACCTTTTTCAAGAACTGTGGCAGCTCTGATATCTTATCCTGCTTGCAGGCTTGCATGTGAGCCTACCATAGTTTTATGGGTCCTGGTAGAAGACACTAGTCTTCTGGGTCAGAGTCAAGGACAGTTTATCACTCATAGCAATTGCAGAAGCCTCAGTATCAACATTTTCCTTGCACTAGTTATCCAAGCCCCAGTTCCCACAGGGTTGCATGACTAGGGCCAGGTGGTACCAGTACACACAGTTTCCTTACAGGAGAGGACCCTGAACATTTTCTGGCATCTCAGCCTGCTTGTTTCTTTAATTTGCCTCTTCCATTCTCTTCCACAGTTTTGTCCCCACATCATCCTAATTTACAACTCTTACTTCCACGTCCTCCATTGTGGGCCTTGTGTCTTTGAATGTGCTGCTTATGTACTAAGTTCCTCCTATTCCAGACACACCAGTGATTGTTCTTGGTTTGCACAGCAGCCTCAGTCTTTTTTTCCCCTCTTCGGATGATATGTAAATTCTCTTACTTTTTCTGCTATTCTGTACTTTGGTCTATGTCTTAGTGCTCGCAGAGTGCCTGCAGGGATGTTACTTATTTTTCGTTTCTGACAGAACCTTTTAGAGCAGTTCATTGGTTAAGACGTGTGTTCAGTTGTAAGAACAGATAACCCACTTTAATAAATAGAGTTTGTTTCTGATTATGGGTCTTTTTTTAACATGTAAAATGTCTGAAGATAGATGTGTTGATTCAATTTTTTAGCAACACTCCTGTTTTTCCATGTACTCTTCCTAACATGTGAAATTCTCTTTTTCTATAATATATTTTCAGTTCCCAATTATACCCTACCTTTAAATTATAACCTCTTTCACAGAGTCTTTGTAGAATACTTACTCCCTCGGTTTAGAAAACAAAACAAAACTCTTCTTGTATATATTTACAGGTACTAATAAGCTAGAAATGGCCTTTATCATTATGTTCTATATGTATGTCTTATCTTTCCTGTGGACTCTAAATTCTACATCTGTGGTGTATATTTTGTTACCCTCTGTAAAATGCCTGAAGAAAGCCACAGATTGTTTACTTGTCGAATGGATGGTACAGAATGATTGGATCCTACCTTTAAGCAAACCTTGAGAAAAGATGTTGGCAGGGGTGTGAATATGGAGGTTTGGGTTTTAAGGAAGTAATTTAATTTACAGGCATTAAATATATATATATATATATATATATATGAAAGGAACACCTTTATTATGTAAATTGGTTTCTGAGTGCACAAATATATATTTTTTTTATTATTATTTTTTTATTGATTATGCCATTACATTTGCTCTATTCTCCCCTCCCCTCCCCTCCACCCTGCATACCCCTCCCCCACCATTTCCCCCTTTAGTTCATGAACATGTGTCTCAAATTCTTTAGATTCTGTATTTCCCCCTACTATTCTTACCCTCCCCCCTATCTATTTTCTATCTACTGTCTGTACTACTTATTTTCTGTACCTTCTCCCCCTTCCCCCTCCTCCCACTCCCCTATTGCTAACCCTCCATGTGATCTTCATTTCTATGGTTCTGCTCCTGATCTAGCTATCCTCTTAGTTTGCTTTTGTTTTAGGTGTGGTTCTTATTAACTGTGAGTTTGCTGTCCTTTCACTGTTCATCTTTTTTATCTTCTTTTTCTTAGGTAAGTCCCTTTAACATTTCATATAGTAAGGGCTTGGTGATGATGAACTCCTTGAATTTGGTCTTATCTGAGAAGCACTTTATCTGTCCTTCCATTCTAAATGAAAGTTTTGCTGGGTAGAGCAATCTTGGTTGTAGGTCTTTGAATTTCATGACTTGGAATACCTCTGTCCAGCCCCTTCTTGCCTGTAAGGTCTCTTTTGAGAAATCAGCTGACAGTCTGATGGGAACTCCTTTGTAGGTGACTGTCCCCTTAGCTCTTGCTGCTTCTAGGATTCTCTCCTTCATTTTAATCTTGGCTAATGTAATTATGATGTGCCTTGGTGTGTTCCTTCTTGGGTCCAACTTCTTTGGGACTCTCTGAGCTTCCTGGATTTCTCGGAAGTCTATTTCCTTTGCCATCTTGGGGAAATTCTCCTTTATTATTTGTTCAAATAATTTTTCAACTGGTGGTTGTGCCTTTCCCCCTTCTGGTACCCCTATAATTCGGATGTTGGAACGTTTAAAGATGTCCTGGAGGTTCCTAATCTTCTCCCTCATTTTTCTGAATTCTTATTTCTTCATTCCTTTCTGTTTTATCATTTTTTTCTTCCGTCTGGTTCTCTCCCTTGATTTGAGTCCCAATTTTCTTTCCATTATTATTGGAATCTTTTGTATCCCCATTCATTTCAATTAATTTAGCTTCCATATGTTTCTCTAATTTGTGGCTAAAGTCAACCAGTTCTGTAAGGATCTTTATAACCAGTGATTTGAACTGTGCATCTGAAAGACTGGCTATTTCTTCATCACTTAGGTCTATCGGTTCTGGGGCTCTGAGTTGTTCTAGAGCCATTTTTGGTCTGTTCGCGCTGTTAAGTGAGCGGAGCGAAGCCTTAGTTGTTTACCAGGGACGGGGCGACCCAGGTCGCTGGTTTGTGACGCTGTGTGTGGGGGCGGGGTCAGAGAAGGAGCAATGGCGTTCCTCTCCGCTAGCCCAGAGCATCCAGTCACACACACAAACGCCTCGGGCTTGCTTATCCGATCCTAATTTTGCGAGCCTGCTGCGCCGCGCTCGGGTTTCCCTTCTCACTGGTTTCTCTGCACGTAACTGCGCGCGACCGACCGACCCACCGCGCCTCTTCCCTATGCGCTCCGCAGCCAGCTCACTGGCGATCAGCCCTCGGTTGCCGCCTGCGCGCGCCGCGCACCGCCGTCCCGGGAATTTTTTCTTGCTAACCTGCTCCGCTTCTGGTCTCGCTCCTTGTACCGTTCCAGCCGAGTATCTAGTTGTCCTTTGGACTCCGTATTGTTGATTTTCCGTATAGCTTGGTTGTGACTGCTGTTAAAAATAGTTGTTCTTAGATTTGGTTGTGCACAGAGGCGAGGTGGACCCTCCACCTACTTCTCCATCTTGGCGGAAGTCTACAAATATTTCTTTTAGTACTATCAAGTGTATCTTCACATATCACCAAAGCATTCTATTAACACTATGTAAAATAAAGTGGAAACTGTCTTTCTCTTTCAGTGCTTAGATGAATACGAAGATGACGAAGCGGGGCAGAAAGAGAGAAAACGAGAGGATGCAGTCACACAGCAGAACACGATGCAGAATGAAGCTGTCAGCTTGCTGGACCCAGGCAGTTCCTGTCTGCTGCAGGTGAGTGTTTAAAGTAGTAGGACGTCGTCACTAGCTAGTTTAACAATAATTTGTAAGTTACTATTATTTCTAGTTTCATTTTGGTTGCATCGGTTCCACTGAAATACTTTCAGTGGATTTAACCGATTTTCTTTATATCCAAATATCCAAATACTTTTGACTTAAGCAGTCTTTGGTCTTTATTTCATAATCAATGAATATTTGCTGATTGACTGACTAATAAGCAGGTATAAACACTATCAATGGTAAAAACAACCAGGAATAGCAATTATCTAAAAGTAAGAATTAGTAAGTTTGAGTAAGAATTAGTACAGTTCTGTTCTAGTTCCATATTTGTTTTATTTTTATTTTATTTTTAAAAAAGATTTTATTCATAGAATTCTATGCAGCAGAGAGAAAGAAGGAGCTACTACCCTTTGCAACAACATGGATGGAACTGGAAAGCATTGTGCTGAGTGAAATAGGCCAGGCGTTGAAAGACAAATACCAGATGATCTCACCTTTGACAGGAAGCTAAAGAATAAAACAAACAAGCAAACAGAATAAAAACAAAGACACTGAAATAGAGAACAGGGGGACAGTTACCAGAGGGGAGAGGGGAGGGAATTTAAGGGGAAAAAGTGGGAGGGATTTAGAGGAAAAAGTATAAAGGACACAGGGACAAGAACTAAGGGGGGTGGAAATGGGAGGGAGGTGGGGAGCATGGGGGAGGGGTGGGATGGGATGGGAGAAATAAACAGAAAACTGTACTTGAAAAATAACTAAATAAAAATTTAAAAGAAAAAGAAAACAAAAAAAAAACAGAAAAAAAAAGATTTTATTTATTTATCTTCAGAAGGGAAGAGGAGGAGAGAGGGAGACAAACATCAATGTATGGTTGCCTCTTGTGTGTCTCCCCTGCTGGGAACTGGCCTGCAACCCAGGCATGTGCCCTGACTGGGAATCAAACCGCAATCTTTTAGTTCACAGGCCTGCGCTCAATCCACTGAGCTACTCCAGCCAGGGCTATATTTGTTTTAGAATTGCATAGCAAATAGACTCGAACAGCAAGTTTGTTTCTATAAATTCAAATGTTTAAAGATAACAAAATCATGAATTGCTGGAAACATCTATATTTCCGCATAATCATAGAATTCAACTCAGTTTTAAATTAGCTATTATTTTAAATTGTGGCACAGAAAATGTGGAGTTGATTGAATTGGGATGCTTCAGTAGAAAGTAAATCACTTTGCAAAATAATTTAATATAAACTAATTTGTGAGTGATCTTGACATAACCTAATCTTAAATTAATTTGATGACATTTTGAGATCTTAAGTTACTGTGTTGTCTTTTCAGAGTTCCAGTTTTGACTTTTTAAATTTTATTAAGATACCATTTTTAAAGGAGTTTCCAACATAAATTCCCTATTTTACTGATTAAAAAATGAAATATAACATGTCTATTACTTTGCAGGGTAATGATAAATAGGCATTTAGCAGAGAGAGAGGCAAAATATTTTGAAGTGGTTTGGAATTTGGATCTAAAACTTTCTTTTCCGCTTTTTGGGGCAGCTGTGTTGATTCAAAGAATCAGAGTGAAACAGGTCTGTTTCTTGTACCCAAAGTTGCTGCTACTGGGACAAGTAGTGCCTATTCTAAACACATGGTGTGAGCTAACAAGCAGTGTTTCAGCATCTGTGTAACTGTTCATAATCTAAAATATCTTTGTGTCTTTGTCTAACAAAAATGAAATAAAATCTAGACCTATTCTACCTGGAGATTATTATCCCAAGTGAAATAAGCTAGTCCGAGAAAGACAAGTACCATATGATCTCACTTATATGTGAATCTAATGAACAAAATAAACTCATAAACTATTTCACAAAAAATAGAAACAGACTCAAAGATACAGAAAGCAAACTGGCAACTGTAAGAGGGGAAGGGAGATGGTTAGATGGGTGGGAACTGTGAAGGGATTAAGCAAAAAACCCAGAAACAAGAAAACTCAGACACAGACAACAGTACAGGGATTGCCAAAGGGGTGCGGGGGAGGTAGAAGAGGGAGGGTAAAGAGGAGACAAGTAATGAAGGATGAGGTGACTTTGGATGATGAACACACAGTACAATACACAGATGATATATTGTAGAATTATGCATTTGAAATCTATATCATTTTATTACCCAATAGAATCCCAATGAATTCAATTGAAAAAGGGTTGTAAAAGGAAAAAAAGGCATTATTTTTTTCATGAGCCCTGGCACATGTGTGGAAAATACACGAACAGTGCTTAATTTCTCTTGATTATTTTTTCTTATTCTCAAAGGCCTTTCCCCCCACCCTTCCCCTTATTTGGAATGGAGCAGTGATGACAAAATACATTAAATATAAAGATGAGAATCCTAACCTGTAAAGGAAAAAAAAACCTGGGCCTATTCCAGGTGATGAAGATACAGGCTTAATTTATTGGGATAGAGACAATATAGCATCTTAAAACCTGGTTTTAATTCTTGATCGTGCCACTTACTCTAATATACTTATTAACTGCAGGCAGTGACTTCTAGAAATAGAGTTGATTTCTTTCTGTGATAAACAGCCCTGTCCCAGTCAAAGCTGGGGTGATCTGCGTTAGAACACATAGTTAGTCCCAAATAAGTACCCAGATACGGACCAGTCTCCGCTGATTGGAGCTTTCTGCCCCGAACAGTTTTTTTCCTGTAATTTTTCTAGTCTCTTTCCAGGCCCGCTCTTTATTTGCTTCATTTTGCTTTGTTTCATTAGCAGTTAGGATAGGACTCATTTTTTTTTACCTTGGTTGCAAGTGTGTGTTTTGCCAAGCTCTGTGCCTAGGACAAAAGTGGAGCTGTCTTCCATGGGTGTCAAATCGCCTCATTCAAGAGCAGTGGGAATAGGTCCTCCTCTGTCTACGTGGTTGACCTCTCTGAGTTACTGTCTAAACTTACATATTCTACTACTTCTGTAGGATAGATAGTCATTTGCCACTCCAACTTCAAAAAACAAAACCCAGAAAATTTTGGCATCATTGCTTGATTTAAGGCTTTTAAAAAAATTATTGTTCTATTACCGGTGTCCCAGTTTTCCTGTTGCTCTCCCCTGCCCCCCGCCAACCTTCCACAGTCCGTCCCCATACTGTTGTCTATGTCTGTGAATCATTCATAACTGTTTGTTGATTAGACCCTTCTGTTTCTTTCCTCCTTATCTTCCTCTCCCTCCCCTCTGGTCTCTGTCAGTCTGTTCCTTGTCTCGTTTGTTTGTTTTTGTTTATTAGGTTCCACTTGTAGGTGAGGTCATATGGTATTTGGTTTTTACTGCCTGGCTTATTTCACTTAGCATAATGCACTCTAGCTCCATTCATGGTGTTGTGAAGGGTAGGAGCTCTTTTCTTTCTTTCTTCTGTATAGTATTCCATTGTGTAAAAGTACCACAGTTTTTTGATCCACTCATTTACCGATGGACACTTAGGTCACTTCCAGCACTTGGCTATGATAAAATAAATTGTGCTGCTATGAACATAGGGGTACATAAGTTCTTTTGAATTGGTGTTTCAGGATTCTTAGGGTACAGTCCCAGCAATGGAATTGGTGAATCAAAAGGCAATTCCATTTTAATTTTTTGAGGAAATTCCATACTGTTTTCCACAGTGGCTGCACCAGTCTGCATTTCCACCAACAGTGCACTAGGGTTCCCTTTTTCTCTACATCCTGGCCAGCACTTGTTTGTTGATTTGCTAATGATGGCTGTTCTAATTGGTGTGAGGTGATATCTCATTGTGGTTTTAATTTGCATCTCTCTGATGGCTAGTGATGTTGAGCATTTTTCATATGTCTCTGGGCCCTCTGTATGTCCTCCTTGGAGAAGTGTCTGTTCAAGTCCTTTGCTCATTTTTTAATTGGATTGTTTGTCTTCCTGATGTCGTGTGGTGTGAGTTATTTATATATTTTGGACATCAAACCCTTATTAAGAGGTACCATTGGCAAATATGTTTTCCCATACAGTGGGTACCCTTTTCATTTTGATGATGTTTTTTTTAACTTTGCAGAAGCTTTTTAATTGGATATAGTCCCATTTTAGTCTTTCCTTTATTTCCCTTGCCCTAGAGGATATATCGGCAAAAATACTGCTGTGTGAAGAGGACAGAGAGACTGTTTCTTAGCATTATCTATGAGTCCAAACCACTTAGTGTAACAAATCTTCAAACATGAAGAATAAAATAGGAATATGAATGTAACATAACAGTATGCTTCTGGAAAGGTTAGAGTATTTTAAGATTATATTTGATAATTTTCAGATAATGTGGAGTAGTGGTAATAAAAATAATTTAGAAAGCTTTCTTAGAGTTTTAGCTATGATTTATACAAATACTTAATCATGTTTTCTTCTAGATAATCATGCTGGTTTTTGAAGTAATATATTCTTTAATTAAATAATACATGATCAGTGGAAAATTTGAAAAACAATAAAAATGTAAAGAAAGGGGAAATTAGTTTGAACTGTTTATGCTGTATTTTTTTGAACTATTAAATTTTAAACTTTTTCTGTACTCTACATTTTTAATGACTTAAATTTTAAGCTTTAAGCTTAATTTATTTAAAAAAGTAACAGTCACATTTAAAAATGCAAAAAATATAAAAGGGTACATGGTAAAACTCGATTGTAGCTGTCTGGTTATCTTCTCCGTAGGCAGCGAGTCCTTTCTCGTGTAGCCTTCCAGAGGCGTCTCTGTACCTACACATATTTCTGATTTTAAGCACACTATTTTGCATCTTGCTCTTTTTCACTTAATATTGTATAGTGACCTCCATGATAGTACACAAAGGGCTTCACTCTTTTTTGCCAGTGAACAATGTTCTTTTTTATAAATGCACCATAATTTTCTAACTTCTGTTGATCATAAAATTTTTTACTATTACAAACAATATGGTAGTGAAAAACTTTAAATATATTATTTTGCATATAGTTATGTAAATCAGTAGACTTTGAGTGCTGAAATTTCTGGGTGAA